TATCACACTTGATATTGCAACCCATGGTTTAGGCGGTGTAGGCTGCATAATTTCATTACTTTTGTGCAATTTGATGCAATTTGGGCTTAAATTGATACCTGGCCGGGACTGAACCGCTCACTATAATATCAAGTTTGACACATCAGTGGATGCCTTTTATGGCGTAGATTGCATTTATGAAAACAGATTTTCAAAAAACATGACTTACAAAGCCCAAATTTTCGATTTTCCTTTTTTCATGGTTTTTGACGATTTTTTCCATAAGAGCTAATGCATAACTTTGAGCTCGATGCGCGATCGGAAAATATTGTCCGATCTCAAAATAAAAAATTGCACTGTATTCTACATCTGAAAAGACAACTTTTCCGCATACCCGCCTTATCAATATCTCAAATCCTTTTTTTTCGCTATCCTCTAGTGTACATGCCCATGTTTGCAGGAGGTAATGTGTGCATGGACAAGTACACACTTCAGCACATAGCTTTGATCTTAGGGCACTCCGAGCGGCGTGGTCCCCGCTTGTCCTCCCTCCCCGCGAACCCCTGCGAGCCGCCGATGACACACACGGCTGCTTGGCGGGCTGGCCTACCCATCGCGTTGCAGGCGCCCGCCCTCGTTACACAGTGTCGGAAGAGACCGATGATTCAGAAAAACCACGTTTTGCCGGCGAAAGTCCCGGCATGCCTCGTCGAATAGGCAATGTCTGACGGCCCCTCACACAATAGTTATAAAATAGAAGTATTTAAGTTCGAAGTGTCTCGAAATGAAGGGGGGAGGGGGGATTCTTTAGCTTGCATCTGATGCAGCATGACCGAATCACACTGTTTCGGTGCACTCATATGTGCTCGCACCTCCCTGTTTATAGAGGGTTGCACTCCGAGGTTCATTCTGTAAGTATAGCCGTTGGTATAGGTGGGGCAGGAGGCCATCGCCCCGCCAGAGGTGGAGCCGTACGAGTCCGAGTACAGCGGCTCCTTCGCCAGGGACTTCACGCCGGCCCTGGAGAGGGACCTCGCCAGGCCTGACGAACCCGCCAGCGAGGATGAGACGAGGTGGGCGAGGCGGTTGATGGAGACGCACGCTCTGCTCACACTGGGAACGTAACTGTGTGAATACCGCACACTTGAAGGTGTGAATGCCCGTACACTCAAGAAAGAAAAGTTTTTTTTTGTTGTTTTCTTTTTAATTTACATTACTTGTGTATCCACATGTACGGATGGCGTTCACACACCGACACAAGTGTACGACGTTCACACACTTGGGTTTCTCGTACAGGTTGCGCTCACGACATTCCGCAGGCACCCGCTGTACTCGGAGCCGGCCTGCTCGTACTGGTACCAGAAGCAGATGCTGCCGCCGCGCGGCTCCAGCTGGGACGGCGTGACGGCGCGCGGCCGGCACGACGTGACGCAGCCCTTCCGCCGCAACGCGCTCTTCAGCACGCCCGTGCCGCTGGCGCTGCACGAGAGCGAGCGCACCCACGGCGGCACGCCCTTCCCGGCGCCGCGCCTCGCGCCCCGCGTGGCGCACGGCGTGCTCGCGCCCTACGACACGCCCGTCATGTAGCAGCAGTGGACCGTCAGCCTGCTTAGCGCACCTCTCTGTTCTCCTTTGCCTCCTTTGTCTGCTGTTAGCAAAGACCATACAGGCGCTATGCCCGCTGCTGCTCGCTGGGTGGGAGCGAGCGGGTCCCACCGGAACGAATACAGAGTCGAGTGAAAATACGAGAGGACGCGGAAAGTCGCTCTGGTGTTGGGTGTCGGCTCCTGAGTGTACAGCCCCACCCCTTGAGGGGAAGCGTGAAGCGTGTCTTCTGCTGGAACAGCTCGAGTAGCTGCTGCTAGAGCAGAGCGCTTGTCGCCTTGAGCGGCTTGAAGGCTTGGGGATCCTATGGGCGGCATGTCAAGTCTTTTATTGCGGAAGCGGGTCGGGATATTTCTCTCGTCTTCTCTTTCTGTTCAAGCCTTCTTCCATAAGGGATAAGAGGCGATCAACCCGCCCATTCTTGAACCTAAGGGTCCGTGTCGTTAATCCGTGCACACGCCTGCGGGCATGTGCGTTCACACTAAATAGGAAAGGACAACTTTGTGTCCAACAAGGATGTGTTTATAAGCACAAATCAAGCAAATTTTCCATTTCGATCAATTCAAAGAAGGAAGATTGCAATTAACTTTCTAAATCGCACATGGCGGTAGTGGCGCTGCGCGTCGTTTTACTGGTAACCGGGCACCGGAGACTTGAATGGTCTCGAGCAGCGCCGTGCGTGCTTCCTATCGGGGACCCGCGATACAGGAAATACAAAAGAAAGCTGAATTGGTTGCGGTCGCATCACAAAAAAGGCGAGTGTCGAGGTTTCCAGAGCGAAAAATGAGCCCCATAATATCGAAACGACGTGAGAACGATGTCGAGGGAGGAGGGGTAAAATGAAGTTGGAGCAATTTGCCACCCACCTGGAAGTTTGGTCCGTGCGCACGTGGCGCGAGATAGGGCTTATACGAGCGTGTACTTCTGCCATTCTTTCTCTATCCGGCTCGCTCTCCCTCGCCAAACGGGCGGCGCGTGCGACGGGGATGGAAGGCAGCCGTGGAGGGCCCGAGGCGTAGAGACGTGAGGCAATTCTCTGGCGCGCGCGGCTGGCGTCCGCGGGACTCGGCTGTTCCTCTCCTTCCTCGCACAGCGAAGATGGGTCGTTTGGTAGGAGGGAGGGAGGGAGACGAGAGAGTCTTGGGAAATGGAGGTGCAGCTGTAGGGGGCGGTCGGTGAACCACCCTATGGTATAGCACAGACTACTTAAGCTGTCGGAAATCCGACAGCAGTGTCTGAAAGTAGAGAAGGTTCAAGTTGTTGGGAGCAAAACGAATTTCGATGGTCCAAAAAAAATATTGAAGTACCCCCAAATTGCCGATCAAGGCCCGCGAAAGGGGCTCCATGCATGGTTCGCCAAAACCGTTTTTCACCAGCTGTGATAACGTTTAAGGCTCGAGGTTCATCCCGCAGCGCCTGTCAAGCTCTGGGTAGGCCAACCCGCCACGCAGTTATGTGAGTATGGCGGTCCGCCCAGTGCGCACAAGTGTATGACAACGTGCGTCGACCAACTTTACTCAAAGTTTTTTTTTGTAATGTAGACAAGAATAAAAGAGTAAAGAAAAGGAAACAAATTTGAATGCTTTGTTAAAAATTTATTATTTTTCTGAATAAATGCTAACATCAACAAAAATATTTGAAAATAAAACTCACAAGTAATGATCTGATAATCCATGGCATAAAAGACCTCACGAACTTTCTTTTTCGCGATTCTTTTTTTAAACTTCAAGATAACATTTTCAACCACCCTCACAGACGTCCGATGATGTTCTTGTTTCCGAACACGGAATTATATTCAAAGCAAAAGTTACGACAACATATTCTTTCAGCCGATATTTTACACCACGAAGCCTCGTCAATATTAAAATAAAATATACAAACACGCCCTCACCCCACAACAGGGGTTTGGTAAGTGCGCTTGAACAGAAAAGCGAAGGGTTGCAGTTGAAGGTTCTCGCTTGCTTTCGCGTTTTGATCTCGAAGTCCCTTAAGATTTAATTTATCTCTTAAACGTCCATCGCCCGCTAACAATAATTCCCCATTTTAACACCTCCAAACATCATAATTTTATGTTTTTTTAAATATAGATTTTGTTTACAAAAAGGAAGGTAAAATCCATCTTTGTGTATCTATATAGACCAGCGGCAAATTCCTCCGTTGACATTCCGCTCGATGAGGTGGTAAGTTTTCGTGTCAGGCCATCGTTTGTGACATCAAGGGAGGATATTGCCCAGGATCTAAGCACGACTCCGGTAAATTTCTCAAAGAAATATTTCTAGTATTTCTGGGAGGGTAAGAAATATTTTAACGTATTATGCTGTGGTTTGGTAACTAAGATTCCAACTTCCTAAACGGAATATCCAGAACGCAACACAAAAATGTTTTAGTTTTTCTCAAACAAAATATTTATTTATCGTAGAGAGAGTTTCTTCCCCCAGATCACGAGAGTGTTTATTAATTTGTGAAAAACTAGACGAATAACTACGCGGTGCTCCAATTTACTATGTTGATCAAAAACAAGCAATCGATGATAATTCCATCGCGACCCCTCGCACATTTGGATAAAGACATCTAACAATCTACAGTCTACACAGTAATGAGAATGAAGTCGTAACTAAGTTATACGGATTCCAAAGAAGAACAGTAAAAATAATGTCTATATACCAGCAAAGGCAGAAAAGCTTGTAACGTAAGAAAATGGCCCACTTCCCGACACCCCGATACGAGCTCAACGAGTTTGACAGCAGAAATTTTCTTTCAAACAAGGCAAGTACTGTTATTCGGGCTGCAACCTTGCTCTACCACTTAGAGGGCCTTAAGCACCAAAGAGATCCGGACGATGGAGATCTCTAAGGAGCTGGAGGACCTAAGAAGAGGGGCAGATGTATCGTACCGGGAAGGTTCGCGTGTTTGTTGAGAACCCAAAGGCTCACAAAATACGGTTGTCGAACTTTTTTTTTTTTTTGCTTAATCTATCTTTATGACAAAAACAAACTCCCCGCAACTAGCTCCCCAGTGAGAAATTCATAGCAAAACTACGTCGTTTCGACGTCGATTCCACAATTTCCACCTCGTTTCGACGTCGTTTCGATGTCGATTTAATATTTTTTCGCATTGGGGATCAGCACCAAATTTTTCGCGAACTGCAGAGAAGACCCTTCAGGAGGAACGTCTTCCTAAAATGACTGGAAGTGGGAGAGCCAACACGTTACCAGTAGTACATCTATGCATCTATTTATAACGTTAAAACACTCATTGTTTCTTGCAAAAGAAAAGAGACAAGCCATAGACATTGTTTCCGACCGAACTCTTCTCAATACGGCATCGTGACCTTTTATACTGTGAGCTGCCAGGTCAGCAGCCCACTAGAATGGCCATGAATGATGTTTGTCAGCAACCCCCAAATGCGCCTTATACAGTAATGTGCAAAAAAATGGAGTCCTCTTACATCTATATGTACTTTAAACGAAAATCTACGCTGGCATCACGGTAGGTGAATTGGAGTGAGAAGCCATCTAATAGAATGCGCAGCAGCGAGTCTACCACAGGTGGGTACGCAACACACATATTCTGAATACGTAACCCAGCAAACAATGAACAACCAAAATTACGGCAATTTGACGAGAACTGGTCGAAATTTCGACAAAACTTGGACGGTTTTGAATCAAAATTACGCTTATACGTCAGAGTAACTTCAAATCGATGACACTTTATTGACTATTGCTTTCTATTAACAAATGTCAATACTTGCAAATTGACGCAACCAAAAAAACATTTTTTTAGACATTTACTAACGCCCTAACAAGCAGAGGGCAGTAACGGATAGGGAGGAGGAGGGTTAAATGGATATGCAGGATGATAAAGCAGAAACCCCGGTAGCAGAACTGCGTCAAGACTGCATTATATGTCCAATCTTAAATGTGAATTTTAGGCGCCTTAAGGTGCCCCCACAATGAGCGGGGGGCCGTGCTGGTAAGCCGTGCCGGCAGGTTCAACCACTTTTATTCGAAAAAAGCTGTAATAAGACGATCACAAGCGTAGCCCCGCGCAACCGGCACGACCTGCCAGCACGGCCTGGCCACACGGCATCGCCTACCGAGCATCGCCCCCCGCTCATTGTGGGGGCACCTTTAGGCGCATTTAAAGAGTTTTATGCGCATTATAGGCGCATTTTAGATTGGACATAAAATGTAGTCCTGATGCAGTTTTGCTGGTTTCGCTACCTGGGAACGTTTTAAAATGCTTTGGAACGTAGACATTTTAACTTCTGACTAGTGAACAAATTGTCAAAGAAAAGCCACACAAGCCTACTATAGTTCCTCACCCAGCTTTACGTAGATTCTCGGATATAAATGGCAAATGACACATGTATTTAAAGTTATTACGAAACAAAAATCAAGTCTTATTGAAAACTAATTTCCACTGACAGCATAAAGAACATTAGGAGAAAAAATACACTTTGCATTCATAATGGAAACTTTTGAAAAATTAGACTAATAGCCTATTGTAATTGAAATTGATATGTTCGTTGGACTTGATTTAATCATGATATGTATAGAGTAACAATAAAATGACCTTATCGTGACATAATCACCTAACAATAAATTTGATATACATGTAAAAGTTTCATAAAAGTAAATATACAATTACTAGATTGATGGTAGGTAAAATGATATGTAGTTTTGTGCAAAATGCGCTGTTGGCTATTACAACGTGGGGCAACAAGTTCCACGCGCTTCACGTGCAGAAATTATGAAATCTCTCATTCTCATAACTGTCAAACGACGAAAGAGAGATCAGAATAATGTATGCACATACACTTAAAGCAGTGATTTATACACGTGCTAGGATATTTTTATCAACAATAAATGGTGTACATGCAAAAAATGCAGTGGTACGATAATGATATGTTACTTTCCAAATCCACATTCCTATTTTCAAAGCTGACAGTGCAAATAGTGCACCGCCAGCTTTACACATACACTTACACCCGAAGCATAATTGTATAATATATCACTGTTCAACTCAAGGTTCCACTACATCTATCACATCGCGGTAAAGTAAAGACTCCGAAGGCTTACAGAGGGGAAGACGCTACGTAGAATTAAGAGTTAAATAAAAACTAAAATAGCACGTGACTTGAACACACTTCCCCCGTGCAGCTTCGCGTTATCACGTTATTTTATAAGTACTTCTCCGTAGTACCTTCAACGTACATAAACAACCGATTTAACATAAAGCAAGTCATAGTCGTCCACGACGGTATGTAACGGTGATTGGTGTTTTTTTTTTTTTTAAGAAAATCAAACGAAACTCTTTCAAACGTAACTCCGCTACTGCGCTGGATTAACCATATGAAGAAAAACACAGCGCAAATCTTGTGAAGTTGAAGTCGAACGATGCTCATGTCGATGTAATTTCAACAAATATATCAAAAGGGAAAAATCTGTCAGCGACAGTGCAGGAGGTGATAACTCTTTGAAAAAATACACGAGACCTTGAGGTCTAAACACTTTTTTTTGTAGGACGAGGCAAAAGTATTTTTAAGGAAAGAAAACAGGAGATTCCTTACAAAAGATCATCATCTCCACACAGGCGGGAGAGGAGTAGCTTTGTGGTCAAAATATGTTGCGTTACGATGATAAACTTATTCTCAAACATCTAAAGTCATAGACACCAAATAAGATATGATTATATCACAGGGAATGAAACCACCTTAAGTTTTTTTCTTTTTTACGATTTCGTCTTACAATCATAACATATGTGTTGTCGCACAGAGGAGAACATGCCAAAAACTACAATCTAGTCCAGGAATCCGGTGTTGACGAGCTTCTCCAGGAAAAACTTGACGTCACCAAGCTCCGAATCCTTGATTCCGAGGCTCTTAAGCATGCCCAGGTCACCGTTTTCTACCGCCAGGAACACGGAGCGCAGGTGTTCCAGGTCCGCGCGCATCAAGTGGAGGGCAGCACCAAAATCTTCGATTGTCTGCGACTCTGCAACACCAACCCAACAGCGCTTGGTAAGTAAGGTAACTCGAAATCTCAGAATACAGTATAACCAATGACTGACAAAGACTGACAGAATCAGAGGAAGACCTAGAAAAGACCAGAGAAAATGCAGGAAGAACAAAAGGTAACGAAGGAAAAGCAGCAAACCGACGGTCGTAAAACCAAAGTTGAGGACCTCCTTAGACCCCTCAAGCCGCCATGGCGAGCGACGATAGGCGATAGGCAAGCCCGCCTTCACGCACGAATCCGGTACAGTATAAGCAGAAAAAACACGGCACGGATCACCCACCCTGTAGTATAGCAAGGAACGATTGAGGGCATCCCTTCTTTCAAACTCGTCAATGTTTTCTAAAGCTACGGGGTGGAAGTAAGAGGAAAAGAGTACGGAGGCGAAGGAAGCACGTCTCTTTCTTCTTTTCGGTAGGATAGCGCAGCCAACAACGAACGCACATCTAGAACTAGGAAAGTAAGGGGGGAAACTAAGAAGGGGCAGGAAGAGAAAAGAAACTCTCACACGCTGATCTGCCCCTGCTGCTCCCCTTAGCCAGCTCGTACAATACCCTACGTAAATAGAGACGCACACTGTCTATTAGTCGACGCCTTCGCCTCAGAGATGCATTAACCCATAAGAAGTAATGTGCCACCTGGGGCACGTGGGAGTGGGACGTGGGCCGTGGCGGCAACGCGGTCAGGACCACGCACAATAATGCAAGGAATGGGACCAAAAGTGCTCTTGAATAGTTTAGAGGCGTGAAGGCGGCGGGAACGGTCAACGGAGGGACGTAACGCCATAAAGTCGTCGCCGTTGAAGCGAACCCGAGCGACACCCCCCTTTAAACATCAACTTAAAAGTGATACAGTCAATACAACGAGTAAAATTTGCACATTTTTACGAACGTGTTCCTAGTTTGACAAAAGCACAGTCACAGCTGGACGCAATCCTTAAGTGCATGATTTGAAAGTCCCCAGATTATTGGTTTACACCGGGGAATTTTCTTTCATATTGCGGAACGGAGCTACCATTACATTTTCCTTTTCGTAAATGTTGATACGGTGTGCTTACAGTCACGATCGGTCACAATGCTTAAACAGTGTGCTGGCCGAAAGAACCATCCAGAAAGTACGTCCGTCATTCGCCTTTAGGAAGTTGACCAGCTGTGAGCTGTCCTAACGCCTAGTAGGTAGGTAGCATCTTGACTACAGGACACGCATGTACTGCGGAGTGGACTACCGCGAGTTTCGCAGGCGCCGAGCTCTCGTAATTTACCAAATACATCTATGACAAAAACACCGGACTTCTTACTTTCTGGACGATCCCTAAGCACACTGTTGGATTTTCAGTGCACGCTTTATTTGGTCAGCTACCAATGCCCAGCACCTGCACTAGCACCTCAGTACCTAGCACCTTTACCAGGCCAAGCGCCTGCCGCTGGCTGGCGGGCCACCGGGGGGTTACCAATAGCTGTCCCTAAGTCATTATTCTTGTTGAATCTTCACGCCCGGAAAGCCGGAGGAGGGCAGTGAAGAAACGCACCGAGCAGAAAACAAATAAACAGTAATACAAAGATGAATATTTTGTTGTTGGCAGAGAATAACGTTGTTCTTTTTTTTCCAAGTCAGGAAAAGCTCCTTAGCGAGGCAATACCGAGAGCACAGCTCGTTGGGTCTTTCTGCCTCATGCCTAGGCATCCTTTGGTTGCTGAGGCTGAAGACGAAATGGGGATGATTATTCAAAATCCCTTGGGTGACACTGTGCGTGTCGCTCTGTTGGTCTTCCTTTTTAGCAGCAGCTTGGCAACAACAGCACCGCATCCCAACCCTCCACCTGGTTAAGCTCGCCGGGCCTTGTTAGAACCTTTATCTTTCCGTAGTTGCCGAGGGGTGCCCAACTCTAAAAAATCGTGTACACCTGATTACCAAAAAGTGACGATTACCAAGGATTACCAAAGATTACCGAAGATTACCGAAGATTACCAAGGGTTTCCGAAGATTACCACTGACAAAAGATAACCAGAGATTACCAAAGATTGCCATTGATTACCATAGATTACCAGTGATTCCCAAAGATTACCAGTGATTCTCAAAGATTACCAGTGATTCTCAAAGATTACCAGTGATTCTCAAAGATTACCAGTGATTACCAAAGATTACCAGTGATTACCAAAGATTTCCAGGAATTTCCTGGCTGGATTACTTAGTGATTACCAAAGATTACCCGATGATTACCAACGATTACCTGGTGATTACAAACGATTACCTAGCGATTACCAGGGATTACCGGCGATTACTAGGGATTAC